GAGTGAGTGAGTGAGAGAGAGTGAGTGAGAGAGTGAATGAGAGAATGAGTGAGTGTGAGAGTGAGTGAGAGAGTGAGTGAGTGAGAGTATGAGAGTCAGGGGCCAGTTTCTTTACATTTGTATGAGGTCTTCTTTAAAGTGTACCAGACAGTGCAGACTAATGATCTAGTTACAAGATTGAACACTAGGTTGGATGAGACTGCTTCTAAGCACACATTGAAACAAGATTGGAACCAACAAGGCGATACTTACAGTTCTGGAGATACAAGGTGTTACTCTGGATGCTGTAACTTCGTTTATCAAATTTGAACTGTAAAAATGAATCCCCCCCAAAGTAATTAGAAAATAGAATTAAACAGAAACACCCAAATCTATGTTTCTTTCTGAAATATAAAGGAAAATTACTGACATGTTTAAAATAGCATTTGGCCTATCTGAAATATGATGCCAGAGCTTAAACAGAGTTCATCTTTCTTTTGAATTTGTCTATCTATTTCCCCAACTAAAATGCCATCAAGACTTCCTTCCCTGAGCAATGTAAACATCAAATGGGACAAAAACCCAGGCGACATCTTACTCAACACAGGACTCTCTTTGCTTTTAGCACCTACTGAACAAACGCGCCAGTGGCAAACTGCAGCAGCTCGCCTGCTATTAATGAGCATGCCAAGAGCCACGTTAGCAAAGGGCTGGGGCTCTGCCTCCCTCTCTCTCTCCCTCCCTCCCTCCTTCCCGGTACAGAGTTAATTTTCAAAATCCTTACAAGGGGAAGTGATTCTGATTTTTACCTTTATCTTTTTAGGGACCTAACATATGGGCCAAGTGCCCACTTCGTGGGACAAAATCTTCCCTATTGTTTTGGCAGCTATTGAGAGACAAGCAAAGTGCCCATGGAAACTGCCCCCCCCCCCACCGTCCCCTGGCCACCGCCCCCCGCCGTGAAGAGTTGCCCTGAAGACCCACCAATTCTTTGTTATTGGTATGAACCGATCCCTTCTAGAAGAAAACATCGGAGACTCACCTTAATCCTGAAGACTGAGACTTTCTTAGTAAGGGAGGCGTGCTCACGATAAAGCTTTAGCTAGGTATACATAGTTTGGAGTGGGGGTGGTGGTCTCTGTCAATGGTTAACTGAAACTCCGCCATCACTCCCGCTTCCCGTGGAAAGAAAGTGGTCCGCGTCGGGGCTCCCTCATCCGTAGGTGATACCTTGGGGAGAGGACCACCCCTCACTTCTTCCAGACCGCCCCCCTCCCAGGTCCCTTCCCTCCCAAACGCTGGCTGAAGGGAGACCAGAGGCGTCGTGAGGGTCTCCCTGTCCCAGAGGCAGAGGAGAAAAGGGACGAGCGGGGCCGAGGTACCTGGAGGTGTGGGTGGGGCTTGGGGAGCCCTGGCCCCTCTCTCCCGCCTTCTCCGTTGTCGCTGAAGCTCGCCGCCAACGGGTACTTGGGTGGTTGGGAGCCCGCTCTCGCCGTGGCCCCTCGACCCGGCCGGTGGCCCAGGCTGAGTCTCTGCAGTGCAGCGCCGCTAGGGCCGCGCCGTCACCTAGCAACCGGCCGGTCCCACTTAAAGGGAGCCGGGGCCGGGAGCCTGCGGCCCGCCGTCACGGCCCGGGCCGCGAGCACTGAGCATGCCCGGTGGGGCGGGCCCACGAGCTTTGGCGGCCAGAATAGCAGCAAAGTGGAGCCAGCTGAGAACGCTTCGGGCCGGACAACCGCCGGGAAGCCGAGGAGAAACCCCTCCCCGGGGGGCAGTCTTAGGAGGGTCTGCGTGACTCACAATGCCCTCTGGACTCTGCCATTGCTGTTGCGGGAGGGGGGGACGGTGAGGGCAGGGAGGGGCAGCAAGCTAATCCCCTGGCCCGCTGCTTAGTGACCTGGCTTCTGGGAGGCTGTACTTTGAGAGGGCGCCGAATTTGGGTCAGGGTTCCTAATAATGTGGCAACCGCACCGCCCCACTCGGTCCCCAGCCCCACCCCCCACCAGGGCAGCACAATGAGCCAGGTGGAATTTCTAAGGGCCTTGACTGTGGCAGGAGAGCAGTGCGCCCTCTGGGAGGTTGTCTCTTAAATAGTTCACACCTTCATCTTTGATCACTCCGAAATGTCTCAAAACCACTCCGGATGAATTTCAAACTCATTGCCTAGCCGTCCCTCCAATACTTCCTTCTACTTCTAAAGGTTGCTCACAACTTCGGGGATTTAGTTTCTCCATTATGCTACAGATTAAATATTAGATAGGTGAAAATATATACGATAAAACACACACCATCTCAACAATTTCTCCTTGTCCAATTCAGTGAGCATGACTACATTTTTCAAGTTGGCCCACCTCTCTCAGTGTTGTTCGGTGCTGTTAAATCAATTCTGACCCCTAGAAGGAAACCCTGCTGGGTCCTAGAGCCCACAGTTGCAGCCACTGGGTCAGTTTATCTCACTGAGGGTCTTAGGAAATCATGGTGCCCTTCTCCAGTGACTGGTCTCTCCTGACATGTCCGAAGTACCTATGTATTGATTGCCATCCTTACCTCTAAGGAGCACTCTGGCTGTATTTCTTCCGAGACAGATTGCCTGGTTCTTTTGGCAGGCCATGCTACTTTGAAGATTCTCACTGTCCTTTTCCAAATCATTTCACCACCATTAACATACACTCACTGCAAAATCTCTTGCTTCCCAGAGATCAACATAACATGACCAAGGCAAAGGAAGATGCTGGGAGGTGCTTCAAGAGTAAAAGATGACCCTAGTGAATATGATCACATACAAAACGTCAATAACAAAAATAATTTATTAGTAGATTCGCAAGCCAAACAGGTGTGAGATGACATATAGGAACACATCCATGAGTATATATATAGATTGAGCAGAGGGCATTTCCACTGACATATTTGTACATGCTACAAACATATCTACTTATATAGTAGAGGATCATCAAACCAAAAAAACCCACAAATTCACTGCTATTAAATCATTTACTACTGATAGCCGTCCCTGTAGTTCAGGGTAGGTTTGCCCCTGTGGGTTTCCAAGACGAACTCTTTACAGGACTAGAAAGTTTAATTTTTCTCCCACAGAACAGGTGGTGGTTTCAAACAACTGACCGTTCAGTTAGCAGCTCAACACATAATCACTACATCACCAGGGCTCCTAATAGTAGAGTATACAGGGGACAAAGTTAGGGAAACTTCTTAGTCATTACCAAACATCTGGCGGGAACGAGTCTAACACCATAGTCTCAGGGGGGCATCTAGGTTGACTGGAATAGCATAGTCCACAAAGATGATGTTCTACACCCTACTTTGGTGAGTAGCAAGTGGGGTCTTAGAGGGTTGGCAAGCCATTTGAAAACCCATCAGGAAGAAAGAGGGAGAAGAGAATAATAGAGTAAGGGAAACAATTATTCCAACCAACGGACAAATGGACCACAGAAACCACAGGCTCCACTAGCCTGAGACCAGATCTAGAGGGAATATTTTGGGGAGTCCTCTAGTCTCAATCAGTCCAGTAAGTCTGGACTTTTTAAGAATTTGAAGTCTATTCCACCTTTTTCTCCCATTCTGATAAAAACTCACCACTATCTAGTTGATTCTGACTCACAGTGACCCTACAGGACAGAGAAGAACTGCCCCAACAGGTTTCAGAGACTGTAACTCTTCATGGGAGCAGAAAGCCTTGTCTCTCTCCTGCAGAATGGCTGGTGGTTTTGAACTGCTGACCTTGAGGTTAGCATCCCAATCCACTCCATAACCAGGGCTCCTGCCCCCATTCTGATAGGGTCCATATATTGTTGCTGAGATCAGTATTGATAGGCATTTTTAGTCATTAGATTACAAATTTTGATGATAGCAGTATGTTGCATAAGTGAATGATCTCAGACTTGGATTAGCCTGATGAATTAACGTTGTTGTTTTTTTCATGACCAAGTTGGTCTGTGCTCACTGATAGCATGCCCGGACAATACAGTCTGATATACTATTTCAAGTCAGGCTCAGACCCAGACTGGGCCTGACAAAAGCTGTGGGAACTGAAACTGAGCTGGATTAGCATGGCTGAAATAGTCATACCATTGATTTTTCAGAAAGTATTTTCTAGCAAGCATGAGAGTAAATGGAAATGTGGACTCTTAAATCATAAGTGACAGAAGGTTTAAATGCATTAAAGAAGTGACAGTCTAATTTATAAAGACCTAACAAGGGAGAGACTGGGGAACAATCCCAAGATACGTTTCAAGTCTTAGAAACTTCTTGAGAACTGGATCTAACAAGTGTTGGAAGTTGGCAAGGTGGCCTGGTTCTTTTCTTTTTTTAAAAAAAAATCATTTTATTAGGGGCTCATACAACTCTTATCACAATCCATACATACATCAATTGTGTAAAGCACATTTGCCCTCATCATTCTCATAACATTTTCTCTCCACTTAAGCCCCCGGCATTAGGTCCTCATTTTCCCCCTCCCTCCCCGCTGCCCCCTCCCTCATGAGCCCTTGATAATTTATGAATTACTATTTTGTCATATCTTGCCCTGTCCGACATCTCCCTTCACCCACTTTTCTGTTG